TGCAATTTATTTCTCTGTCTCTTTGAGTGTTTGGGAACATTCAAAAACTTTGTCTTCAATGTCAGAAATCCTTTCTTCTGCTTGCTCCATTCTGTTAATGAAGAATTCTACTGTATCTCTCAGATCTTTGAGGGTTGGAAATTCTTGTCTTAATGTGTCAAAATCTTTGGTGATTTTGTCTTTGAATTCATTGAATTCTTGAGACAACTTTTGAAATGTTTCTGAATTTCTAATTCCACCTTTACCTCCATTCTATTAATCTTATTTGCAATCCAAATTCTGAATTCGATTTCTGACATCTTTGCCATCTGTTTATGAATCAGATCTTCAGTTGTGTCCTCCATATCATTCCTGGGGGAAGTTGATCTACTCTGGTTATTCATGTTACCAGAGTTTTCCCACTGATTTTACCCCATGATTATTTTACATAGTTTGGCTAGATGAGCAGATAAGGTGAAGTTGGGTTGAGGGGCTACTGAAGTAGTGATTAATCAGCCTTTTGCCCAAGCGCTGGGACTGGTGTCTGTACCTTTTTTCCTAGAGCTTTGCAACAGACCTGTGCAGTGTTATGGCCTGAGACATTGGGGACTTATTTGGTGTGGTGGGTCTAAGTGGCTCTGTCTTGTTTTCAGCTGTTCTCTTTCCTACCCTAGTGAATCAGTTACTCAGGGTTGAAGCCTCATCTGTGGAGAAATATCATCAATTAAGTCACCCTGCTCCCCATGGGCAACAACTGGAAAAGACAAATCAAACCTTTCCACAACCACATCCAGGGTACCACTTTGGATAGTCCTCAGGCGATTGCTCCAGTCAGAGAGATCCAAATCAATTGTCCCAGTCAGCATCCGTTTTAAGTGGGAGTGTTCAAAAGGTCTCCAGCAACTAGATAGCAGGGGTCTGCTGGTGCTCTGTGGTGTCAGATGGACAACCCTTCCCAGAAAATGAACTAGTCTGGGAAGGTTGATGCCTCCTTCCCCACCTTGCACCTCTGTCACACCCAGTTAGTGGTAACCCTGCAGGGCTGTGACCCAATTCTCTCCAATGAGCAGATGCTCCAGAGGTTTGCACTGGCCTGAGTCACAGAGAGATCTATGTCTCCTTGGCCAGGTCTCCATACTCTGCCACCATCTGGCAGGGAGAGCTAAGGCCTAATAACCTCAGGTGATTAATGGAAGCTGGGGTGGTTCACTTAGTTCCAGACCTGCCCCAATTGATGTTGCTGACACTTATACTTTTGCAGAAATTTTGATTCTATCCTGGCTATATTCTCCTGCAGACAAGGTTCTGTTTGAGTTCACATAAACTGCAACTAACCCCCAATCTGTGTTGCTGCCCAGAGCTGGTATGTCTGTCTCCCCTGCAGTCTGTGTTGGGGCTGTGTGGTTAGAGCTCACACTCGGCTCTGAGTTCCAGCCTCTGCCCACCTGCCTTTGTCTCAGCTATGATTCCCTGAGGGCCAGGTGCTCCTTAGACACACTAAAGCAGTCCTTCTGGCTCAGCTCCCCTACCCCCATAAGAGTATTCCATCTCTTGGCACATGTCTTCAGGTCTCTGTCCCTGCCACACTCTGCCCAAGTGGGTACATGATCTGTCCCGCCAGTGTCTGCCACCAGAGAAAATGCCAGCTTTCTTTGGTAGCCCAGAGAGGCAGGAAGTATCTCTCCAAAATATCCCCAGAGGTGCGAGCCCTATTTTTTCCACTGCTGTTACTGCTGCTCTGTGCCATAGGGCATCACCTCTCCCTCTCCCATATGGTTCCTTCAGTCCACTGTCTTCTCCTTACCCCTGGGCAGCAGAATCAGCACAGACCTGCAACAGCCTATGCCCCATCCATACCTCTTGAGAAAATGCCCAAGAATCTGGACTCCATGGGGGACAGGCTTCCAAGCCTCAGGGTGAGAGTGAAGGGGTGTGTTGGGAGTTCAGAATTGCAGGTAAAGAATATATAGTTTTACACAAGTTTATGCCTGGCAAGAGAGTGCTGTGGCACCCTTCTAGGGGAAGGAGGTCTAGTTCTTAGAGGGTCTCTCCTGTGGGATAAAATGGGAGTATGTTTGAACTCTGCTTGCTTGTTTATAGAAAGTATACTGGGAGCCATTCTCATGGGGGAGGGGACTCTCATCTACTTGGCAATGGATTTTGTACCCATTGTTTGTATCCTTGTGGTCACACCTCACCTCAGCAGGGTTGCTGTTCTTCAACCTTCTTTCTTGGCTCAGCTATAAACCATCATCTTACTTGATAAACTTCTGTCCTTTCACTCTCATTCCAGATGGGAGCCTCTGTGGAAAGCTGGCTCCAGTTGGCCATCTTGCCTCCCAGTTTCTGTGTCTTATACCAGGTGTTCAAATTTGAATTACCATATACTTTTTCGTTGAAAAGAAAGTTTACTAGGGCGGTGCCTGTGGCTCAGTGGGTAGGGCACAAACCTCATATACTGAGGGTGGCAGATTCAATCCCATCCCCAGACAAACTGCAACAAAAAAGAGTCAGGCTTTGTTGCAGGTGCCTGTAGTCCCAACTACTTGGGAGGCTGAGGCAAGAGAATTGTCTAAGCCCAGGAGTTGGAGGTTGCTGCGAGCTGTGATGCCACAGCGCTCTACTGGGGGCAATAAAGTGAGACTCTGTCTCTAAAAAAGAAAAAAAAGAAAGAAATGAAATTTTACCTCTGTAAATTAAGCTTATAGCCTTATCCTTGGCCTCCAATAAATCAATAAATACATATGCATTAAAATATTTGAATATGTATATAAAAATAGTATTTATTTAAATGCTTACACAATACCAGGTTCTATTCTAATAATTTTATTTTTATTATTATTTTTTTTAGTTTGTGATTCATTGAAGCTACAAAGAATTAGGGTACACTGATGGCATTTCTTATGTTAAAGTCCCTCTTATAATGGTGTCCCTCCCCAAGGAGGTGTCCCATACACCATGACCCCTGATCCCACTCCTGCCTCCCTTCTAACACTTCACTCCTTGACACTGCCCGACCGGCAGGCGGTGTCGGGGAGTTCGTGATCGGCGTATGAGAGGGAGAAGGAAAGG